CTCCAAAAACTGGGGGGACGCGTCCCCCCCCCCCCCATGCAGGATTGACTCCCATGCGCATGCAAAGTTCTCCAGCGAAGGGAAAGATAGCTCCTATGATAACTTGTCAGTGGAAACATTTTTTCTTTCTTTTTAGTGCTTTCATGTTGAATTGCCATCACAAGAAAGAGCTAAATGTGATGTTACATTTTCGAATGATTGTCCCAAGACCTGCTGCTTTAATAATTTAACAACTCCGAATTGTTATTTCCAAGAAAATGGTAGGAGTTTTAATTACTATATAGTTTTCGTCGTAATGTAGACACTTCCGAAATTTTCTTAAATGCACACGAGATAATGGTACGAGTTCGAGACTGGTATTGATTTAACTATAACTTAAATATGATCACATACTGACCAGCCTCGAGACTGGCATTGATTTATTAAATCTAGTTCATATTTATCACCCTCGAGATCAAATTATTATTTCTATGTGCGCTAGACCAAGTGCATGCCTGACACTGGAACCCACCACTACCAACACAATGCTGTATTGATTAGTGCTTTCACCATTGCATAAAATCAGCCGCACATTACCATTTTCCTAATAACTATCACCATAAGCCAGAACTATGGCATCGTTACGATTAAGGCAATCACATCGGGAAACTAACATCGGGAATGATGAATATTTAATATTAATTTAACCAGCAACTTGTGGTGTCATGGTTCCATGGTTCCCACGCTTGCTTTTCAAGCTGGTTCAATCCTTAATCGGACCTCTACTCAAGGTCTTAAAATAATAGTTTTTCAAGAAATCCTGGCTGGATAATGATCATTTAGAGTTTCCTTTTGTAGAGTTTTGTCGAATGTAGAAAAAAAACCTATCAAACCAACGGTTAAACTCATCTCAAGTAAAGCGCTAACCGAGCTTAGGACAACTGGCCCAATCACAATTTATTTTTCTGCATTTCCATTTCTAGCTTATGGTCCAATTCAACATTCTAACGGACTATGTATAAGTGTAACAGATGGTTCTAACACTCTAATTTGGTCAACAGACTGTACGTCAAGAAATGCATTCTTTTTGGTATCATACGATCATCCACCGTATCACGTAGCTTCTGGCAAATGTGTTTTGCCATCCGGGTACGTGTTTTGGAAAGTGAGATTTTATTTGCAAGACGAAGTAGTTTAATACAAGGAAGGACCCGCTATCAAGAAGATAATATGTAGTTATGATTATATATTACGCGGTTTCTCCGATTTCAGAGAAGATAACACAACAATACAGGGTGTATCAAAAAAAGCGCAATCCTCGACTGAAATGTAAATTGCTAAACAAATAATAGACGAAAACGTTAAAGTTTACATTCATTTTAAA